ACAAACGCGGAGATGTATAGTAATTAACGAGCCATGTCCGTTCGATTTTGTTTATTGGCGGTGCAGCCGATGCGCCGTGTCCGCCCATTGCAATTCTCAACACGACGGTGGCTCGACACCGGCAGCCTTGAACGAGGTCGATCGGCAAATAGATCGAAAGCGCACGGCCGTTGCGGACTTTGATGTCACGCGCAGCTTGAAGTTCAAACAATTGACGAGCATGTATAACAATTATATGTGATTAATTCATTAAAGCTCGCCACCAGTACGATGCAGCGTGTCTTTGTCGTTCACGTGAGCCCAACTTGCAAATGAAAATATACGGATTTCTAGGCCTATTGTAGCTGGAAATATCATTGTTTGTTTAAACGGACTAATTAGAGTTTGCCAGCGTCGATTTTCATCATAAAATGGACGAAGCTGCACAATGTGTCATTTCTCCTGTTACTGCATGAATTTGTTAGTAATTTTGCCTGCGGTTTTTCGTCAATCTCTTTTTACTCTGTAGAGCGATATGTATGTGTGTATATATGTATGTATGCGTATGCGTGTGAAAGGGAAGAGAAAAAGAGAGATACAGAGAAATAGAGAAAGAGAGTACTCGTGTAAAAGTTGAAAATTAATCATAACTCTCGAGAGGCGAATAGCTTTTTCCCGTGGCGAAGCGTATAAATGTAAAATTATTGGAACTATAAAAGTTGCATGCAATCACGTATGAAATATTTATACATGAAAAAGCATTAGTTATTTTTTTTTAACAGACTTCTGACGTAAACATTAGTACAATCTATATCACTTTCTATCTTGAATAATCTCTGTCTTATCGGTCTTTTAGACTCGCAAGATAAAGTTCTAACGAGCTGAGTTTGAAAAATGAAAGCAATACATTACGTAGCGCTCTTTCTCTTTCTCTTTCTCTCTATTTCCCTTCTCTCTATCCTCTCTCTCTCTCTCTCTCTCTCTCTTTCTTCTTCCCTAATTTCGCTCATTAAGCTTTTGTTGAAATTGTGAATTATTCTGTAAGCGCACTAGCATCAACATAGACTGTAAAGTTACACACGCTAGTAACCGATTAGGACACAACGGACTGTTGGCACAAGGCAAACTACCATTATGCCCGAGATTATAGTATTTTTATTATCTCGCAAGCTCACGTTCCAACTCAGCTCACGTCCAACATTTCGAATTTACGCACTTTTACTTTCGCTTATTCTTGACTCTATACCTATTATCTTATATAAATCCAACTTAATTTGATAACAGTACACGGAAAAAAGGAATGGTTGTGTCAACCAGAAAAATAGTAAAATATGACATAGCTCTTTTCTTTTTGGCTTCAAGAATTGAAGCGTTCTTGATTGCGTTGACCTACTGATTCGTTGCCTCAAAAATGCATTTTTTCAGGCAACGAATCGCAGTGCTAATGAATGACGTTGCATAGGTCAACGTAACCAAGAGTTGGTTATTAAAAAATAAAAACTATACCATATTTTATTATTTTCTGGTTAATACAACCATTCCTTTTTTCATGTATAATTAGCTTTAACTTATCTATCGTGTAGCGTTGTTTCTCTATTAAATTTCCGGAAAGTACTATAAATTCCTGGATAATAACGTGAAGCTAAATAATTCTCACTTGATACACAATGGAGCTGATGATCTCTAATTAAGATAGCCTATTGCTAGCAGTAAATAGCAAAATTATTATCTTCTCTGTTCTGCGGATCTTGAGAGCTCGTTAGTTCCTTCATAAAGAAAGACGAAATTTCGCGACCAACTAATCACATTGGTTGTTTGAGGAGAAAAATCAACATTAACAGCCTTGGTCTTATCGCGACGGATAAACTGTGCCAAGGCCTCGCGTTGAAGGCTCGAAAACTACAAACTTGATATTCTTGAGGATACTCCCGCCGAAATTTCGTTTCTCGTGCGACTACAGTTTCTCGCTCGACCTCCTTTCAGATTTATCGACCGCCAATAGCGTACGCCATCCACTCATTTCCGAACGGGCCGCGAGTCACCCGATAGATCCGCACCGCAATTGCGGCAATTGCAACTGCGACTGCAGCCCGGTTCACCTGCGGCAATTAAAAGCGCGACACGAGAAACACCGTGATCGCGAAACAATCCGATCGGGATAACGGCGTCGCAATATCCTCGTTACGACGACAATAGGAACGGCGCGAATCGAGCGTAGGTCCGAGATCAGAAGTTTTCTTCACATTAAAATAACGGGTGAATCCATAAATTCCTGGAGGTTTTTAAACAAAGTTGAAATGCATCTCATTTCTGTTGAGAACAATGTTGATCAATAATATGTGCGCCATTTTGTGTATTCGACAATCTTTCGCTATATTTTACGTAATTTTAGAATTCTCCTCTCGTGCTTTCTCAACAAAGAAACGTTCTAAATGATGCTTCACATCTTCTAAAGAAATCAGGTGTATACTCTGCTACTCCTACAAGGGAGTTCTGCAGTGAACGAAACAAATGCTAATTGGAGGTGGCAATGTCGGGTGAATACGATGGATAAGACAAACATCCCAATCAAATTCTAACAAATTTTACGGGAGTAAAAAATAAAGTAGAAAGGATCTACGATGTATTTACGGTGCCTCATTGAATATGAAAATTGCTGAGAGATATTTTTTAGCGATTCTTCCAAGAAAATTCCAATGCAGATTGAATTACGAAGACGAAAAAATAATACAGATTTGAGACGATTCCAGCAGAGATAGAGTAATCTTATTTATCAGTTAATTTGAAGTTGATTTTACTTTATAAGATTTTACTTCAATTCAAAGCTTCATTACCGAGACGTCCGACGTTAAGCTCTCGAAAGTTGTAACAACCAGCTGTATTCATTAACGAAAAGTCGGCTTCAGACTCGTCAAAGAATATGAGCTTGCTCGTTAATTCTCACGTTTCGCGGCACGTCTCAATTAACACGTTATAAGACATTTCACGATTTCCTCAAGAGTTTCCCTTCGTATCGATTAATTTTTGGGTACATCGAGATATATTAACATCATAAATTCACTGTAATAACCTGTCAAGCAAGCCAGTGCAAAATAAATATAAAAATCTCAGCGGGGAAAGTACGCGATAGGCACTGAATGGAAATGTCAGTGAATGCACCCAAAAGCCAACACTGAGATCTTATCCAAGCGACAGATGGATACAAACTGAAAGCCCGAGAAAATGAAAATACAAGCGCACATGTATGTGTGAAACTCGCACCGGGAGAACGCCTCCTACAATAAAATATCAAATTTTGGTAGTGCCGAGATAAGATATCTGTGACGGGATACGATGTCTGAGTCATCGCGAAATCGATCACAATTGCCGGCCAAGCACTTAACGAATTAGACCGACGCACACTGTAATGCAAAATTGCTCCCCACGGGAAGTGGATGTTATGGGCGAACTCGCTTCTGAATTACTGTAAAAAGGCTCACGTAGAGATGTCTTCAACGACGGCTATATGTGCGTCGAACGTCGAGAATCTCGCCGACGTTTCGCCGCCAAATTTAATAGAAATTTGCGCGACCCTCGTAGACCGGATTCCGCAAAATTTAGCCGCAGTAATATATTACGGGCGCGCCGACGACGTAAGAGAGATACATGGCGCCGCATTTTGGGGTTACAAATAATAACAATGTTATTTATAATTGCACATCGCGCGTGCCCGTTCGTCGGGCCACATTATGCACACGCGCGATGAACTTCTCGCGCATAATAATAATACGGGCAAGGGCTGCAAGATCATGGCGCGTTCAACGGCATCGCCGTTGTGTGACACGGTCACGCGACTGCGAGAATCGATTCTTAAAACTCCCTTTTATTTCCCCGGAGAACATATACATTCGATGGTGTAACGCATCGTGACATCGCATACCGTTTTATAACTAGTTCCGGTAGTAAAGCTGTCGTGCGAACGCGCGCACTCGTGCACAAGAATGCTTGTTTCACGCGAGTTACATTTTAGTACGAAATTACGAGCGTGCACAACACACACACACACACACACACACACACACACACACACACACAGGCGTGCACGCGCCCGTAAGCAAATCCAACACAGCGCGAACACGGTTCCCGAAAAAGCACACATACAGCAACCGTATAGTGCATCACATTAATTTGTTAAGGGCTTTTAAGATTCATGGTTCTTTTCTCTCCCTTTCTTTCGCTCTTTCGGAAAAATTAATCCCTCGGGAACGCTTGTTGGCAAAGAAAACGCGTTGTCCTTAATTCCCTGCAAATTCGCCGCGAGCATCGGCAGAAACGAGCACGCGAGAAAGAGAAGCGGTCACCACCCGAGGAGACGAATCGGCGTCTTCGTTCCCGCTGAATATTTCACCGGGGAACGCTCGAAGGAGCACCACTATAACGCTGGTAATACCGAATTAACTCGGGACTCTGCATAATGTATCCAACACACCAGGTTCTCCCCCGCGAGTTTGAGCTAAGGGAAGAAACGGGTGACTGAAATAAAACGCGATGAGGCCAAAATTCGAGCGGTTATTCATAGGTGACCTATTCTACTCGGCGCGGAATTGCCAATATCGTCGAGTCGTAACCTTGACCGTTTCCCTTAATATAATGTATCATCTGCGCCTGATTGATGGAACCGCGCAATCTAATTTCTGTCTCCTGCGAACGAGAGATGACGAGGTGATATCCTCGTGGAGACAGTCCGCACGATCGTCAAGATAAACAATAGCTATATCGGTCGATGGAATCGCGAGGATCTCGCGAATACACGAGTACACGGGTCGTCGACGGGACTCTCTCCTCGGGCTTCTCCTCTGCCGCCCTCACGAGAAATTCGCCCGCGAATTTCGCAGCGTATCGATTACTCCTACCTCACCTACTTTACGGACGAGGAATTTTTATTATTGTACCTCATTAAAACTCGCGCGCTCACGTTTCCCGCCAGTACCATCGTCCTCTCGTAAATCGTAAGTATTTTCTAGAAAAGTATCCATCGGAATCATCTTTTCTTTTTCGAGAAAAGATCTTTTTTGATGGTACGCGAATGAGTAAAGTGTGTTAGAGCGTTACATGCACGCGCATGCATACACGCAACTTTACAGAGTGTGGAATTATTTATTCAGCAACTTGGCGTAAATTCGTTGACTTCACAATCATTCATATATAAGAACGCTAAATGTAGCGTTACTTGCTATTTTTGTCTATTCATTATAAGCAAACATTTACTCGCACCCTAGCGAGGAGGATATTCCTCTCGCAAGGAAAGGTTTCCTATTTTTATTTTTGTTCCTCGCGGCATTGACTCGCAAAGGATTAAGATTCGACAAAGGGGAGGCGACGCGGCTCAGGTGATTCAAGCAATTTCGAGCCGCGTAAGTGGAAATGACGTGTGATCGTGGGAAATCAAAGCAGCTCTAGAAGCCACGAGGAAACTTATCTGTTACGTCGATGTTCCTTTGTCCGCATTTAGCGCTAAGCAATTGAAAATATAATATGCCGGCCTGTACCGGCTCTCGATGGAAATAGCACGACTATATCCATCATTGCGGCTTAACCGCGTAGCATGTAGAATCATATCACCCACTTTCCTCGAGGCACAAGGTCCCTCGTTATACTCCACGTCGATTACAACATTTATAGCCGTTCGATTACATTGTCCCGTCCAGCCAACTATCTGGCTGATGTTGCTCTCGATATAACGGGTCAAACGTGATATATATGGGCAAACGTGTTCTTTGACGCGTAACTAGTTACCTAATTGAACTGTCCTTTCTCGTGTATTTATGGAAACTAACCGAGGTATATATTGGACGAAATAACGGCATGAGCCAAACGGTAGCATCGACACGTAAGTGTGTGTAGGTCGTTGTTTCGTCGAAAATACGATAGAGACGTACACACAGCGTCATGGAGGGATGCCTGAACATTTATTACACTGAGAAAGAAAAGTGGTTGACTTAATGGGACCTTGCTTGAACCAACAAAATCCGAGCTAACGTTTAATCGATCGAATGAATTATATAGTTGCTGTAATGAGTCATATCAATCGATTCAATGATTGCGATTTGATCGGTATCAATTATATCAACGCAACTTATTGTTGTATTAACGCGTAATTTATTCATTCGATACAATATTTCCTTGAAGGCAGGTAACCGCGATCGATTTTGTCGATTTAACTGTTATTATGCTCCCAACATTTGGTTTAAATATTCCCTCCATCTGCGTTAAACTCTTACTTGCCCAAAGATGTTTGATTCAAATTGTTTTAAATTGATTGAAGATGTTTGATTTAAATTGTACACCTTGCGTGTGTACATAGTACTAATTGCTTGCTTTTCTCAGTGTAGATCAAGAGTTACACGAGGTTTGATCAAACAATACAAAGAGTTTTTCACAAAAAATATTTATTCGTCGATATTAATTTTCTCCTCTTCAAAGTACTCCCCAGATATACATTTGTGCCAGCGCTTTTTCCAATCTTCGAAGCACTTCTGAAACGCAATTTTCAGTATGGCATTTAGCTCCTTCAGCGATTCTGTCTTTATCTTTTCAATGTTGGCAAAACGTCGTCCTTTCATGGTTTCTTTCAGCTCCGGGAATAGGAAGAAGTCATAGGGGGCCATGTCCGGTGAATACGGAGGCTGAGGCATCATAACGGTGTTGTTTTTGGACAAAAATTCACGAACAAAATTCAACAATTTCGAAACAAATTTTGCTGCCACACATTTCATGCCCAAAATATCCGAAAAAATTGCTTGGCATGAACCAAATGATATGCCAACATCATCAGCAACCTCTCTGATAGTGATTCGGCAATTGTCCATAATCATTTTCTTCACTTTTTCGACATTGTCATCGGTTGTTGATGTGCTGAGGCGTCCAGGGCGCTCGTCATCTTCAACGTCTTCACGGCCCTCTTGGAAACGTTTGTACCACTTGTTTGTAAACGCTTGTTTTATTCATAGAAGATTCGCCAAAAGCAACATTCAACATTTCCAATGCGGTGCTGCACTTTATTCCATTCTTAAAAATTTAATGCAAATTCTTTGTTCCACTTTTCCACAAGTTAAAAATCGCCGATCATACCAAAACACGTGTAACCTTTTCGACAGCCAACAATAAAGTAAGCATCCAATATCAAGATACCAATGTCAAGATACGTCAGGGATAATTGTACCAACCCAACAAAAAAAAATTGTGACAATTGGACATGTACAGCCCGCGAAAAATTTCGCGTATTTTTTTATCAAACCTCGTATGATTTCCAACCTTACATGTACGAGGG